GGGAAACGGCTCCTCTCAGGGCCGGCAGGAGCGCGTTGCGGTAAGAAGAAACGCGCCTTTAGAGCCCTGCCTCAGAAACGGACCCGCCATCGCACCGCCACCACCCGTTGCCCAGGCAAAGGCAGGTATAAATAGAAACAATCGGGCCTTTTCCTGTTAAATCTGCGTCTAAAAGCCTGGGCTGCTGGTAACCCTCCCACAGCGATGCCCTACTCCCAGTGGCGTCGGCAGGCCAGCAGCGACGACTTGCGTAGAAACTTCTGGTCATACGTGCTTAATGCCATCCATCCTCTCTACCGAAATATCAGCTACTTCTGGTTGTTATCCCGCTGAAATACGAAGAGTCTCTGAAGTAAAGCTTTCACGAATAGCTATTTTGCTAAGAACGTTTGTCAAACAGCTAAACGCTAGCTAACGAAAAGCTTGGAGGAAAACCAGGCAAAGAAAGAGGTCTTTCCTCCCTAAGTTTCACCATAAATAGTCATTCAAATGACTAGCAGTGAAATGATGGACACTTTGTCGGTTTACCTCTCCACCAGTAGCTCCCAGACTCTCCACACCAGTGAGACTGGCGGGGCGGTGAATCCCTTTCTGTTGAATGCAAAGGGAATAAACCGAGAGCCGACTTTGGCTCCTTCCAGCTTGCAGTTGCAGAACCAAGGCAGCCTCAGTAACTGATCTGGCTCATCTTGGAAACCAGGGGGGTGAACTGAAAAGGAAAGCTTAAGTTTCTGTAGAAACGGATAGGGTTATCAGTGGACCTTGTATCTTGCCGGTGCAGGAAGATCCCTGCAAAAATGTTTACTATTGAGATAAATGTGTGGTCTGAGCTACCGTGTCATTTCCTTTACGCACAGAAGTTACATTAAACAGTGCACGTAATGAGAAAAAAAATATAAAGGTGCACAATTTCTGAAGAGAGAGCCGTGCACAAAGTGAAACTCAATATTCATTTCCGACGCCTCTGAAGAAGGAATAGTTCCCCTCAGTAACATTATGTTCATGCCTTAAACCTCACGCCTTGATAAACTGTCATACCTAATCACCACCTTTATTAACATGTCTTGTTACAGAAAGAGCACTTAGCTTTTAGTGGAATTATGTGACTGATCCCTCAAAGGCCTTGCAGTTCAAAAAGCTGACATTATGCTGAAGTTTCACTTAAGCAACAAAAAGCAAAATGAGCAGGCTCTTCCTATTTGTAAGCAAGAACTGCAGTTCCAGCTGCACTTCATTTACTGGAAACCTCCTGCATTTATCAGCATGCTTTCAAACATCCACACATCTACAGGCTTATGCAGGTCTCCATTCTTCAGACTTCCAGACCGCGAGATGCCATGTGTCCGGTCCTGTGACAGGAGCGCGCCTGACACGCCACGGCACGTGAGTGACACGTGAGAGTGCATCAGTTCACATCTGGGGTGCTGGGCCCTCCGATGGGGAAGGGCTGCCCTGTCGTGCTCCGCTCCTCCGAGTGCTGGGCTGGGGTAGGTAAGTCGCAGTGCAGCGCTCTGATTTCCCTACCGGTTGTGGCCGGCTGGTGGTCTAGATCAGACTAAGACGTGCGTCTGGCATGTGGGATGCTGGGGCGGGGAAAAAAAGCTGTGAAATTCTGTGTTTGAAATGCCAATGCTGCTGCAGGGAAGCGAGAATCTTGCACCAAAAAATGCCTCAGTTTTCACAAATTTGCTCTGAGGCTCCTAAAGTTTGAGCTGATGTTGCAGCACACCGAGCATTAACCCCTTCCGTTTCTTTTTAGTGAAACCTGCAAGGGTCCCACGCTCCTAAAAGCCATGTCACCAATTGTTTTCCTTCTATGCAGCCTAAATATGGATCTAGAATCTTAATGTTAGGTGCCCAGCTTTCTGATTTTATTTATAGGTGCAGCATTATATAATCAGAGGGGAAATTATAGCACAAGCAAGCAGTTTTCTTTAAAACCAGTTATACAGATAGGCAGACAACAGTTAGAGCATCCTTCAGATAATGGAGACGAACCGGCAGTCAAGTCTAAGCAGTTTCAGGTACCTGAAACTTAATGGGAAAAGCTCTTCAGAGCCACTCTCCAATATTTAGGGATGGAATTAAACCTTTAGAAGTTACCCTAAACAAACTTACGACAGGAGTCAGGTGTGCAATTTTACTCTTTTGAACGAAGTCACGCATCCATGAAAGTGTCTGTGCTAAGACACTGGAGAGCATTTACCTTTTTTTCTCCATGGGAGAGGAAATTTGTATACCTGACCTGCAGTAACAGCTATTTCTAAGGCGTGGTATGTCAGCACGGTGGTTCTGGCAGCTCACTGCCCACAGCACATGAAGTACAGCTTTGCAGGCTTTGTTCTTTTTTGCCTTTAACACGTCTCAAATTCTCTTCTCAGCTCCTCTATGAACTCTGGCAGCTGCAGTTAGGTTTCCTTAGCCTTTGATAACTGCTAAGTTTTATGTTTATTAAATCAAAAGGAAGGTAGGATCAGAAGAGAGAAGCTAAGTTAAAAAAATGTTAACTCCCATATGTTTGCATTTCTGGTGTGCTGCTGGTATCACTGCAGCGATCCAGATGTTCACCTGCTGGCAAAGAATCCTCTGCGTTGCCTGTACCGATATCTTAGATTGCTGCAGAGACAAAAGTGCCGATTTAATCTGTGGCATGAGTACTGCAGTCTGCCTTTATGCTGTGAAGCGCAGAATCCTGGCTAGCCAAGAGCAGTACAGAAGATGATAAAAAAAGCGTGAAAACTTACGGCTACTAAAAATCCATACTGTATGCTCTGAACAACCTCACTGGTTACTTTTTTCCCTAGTCCGAATGAAAATGCTGGAAATTCCTATTTCCCTAGCTACTGTTTTGCTTCAGGCTTTTTCCCTTAAATGGCCATAGTCTTCTGTTACTTGTCAGCTTCAGAAGACAATCATTCTTGCAATATTTTTGTCCTGTCAGCTGGCAGCAGATTTCAAAACAGGATGCCTATTTTTCCCCCTATTATTTGCAGCAGTGAGACACACAACTCTGAGCTTTTGTTTTCAGTTGGTTATACAGGTTCAACCTAGTGATTCATTTTTCCTGCAGCTACGTTTCCAGGAAAAGACAATGCCTTGGCTCTTCTCCAAGTTATCCATAGACTGCCTTGAGAGTAAGATCAGAAAGCAGTATTTCCACCACAGCTGAGATACTTTCTAAGAAGGAGGAAGATGAACAAAACACATCCCAAAGCTGGTGTTATCTTCCTACAGACAAGCAAGGAAGCACACAGCCTTGGAAAAGCATATTCAGTACTAAACCAAGGTGAAGATAAGGTAGAATTTGCAAGTTTTTAAATTCTTGGCCCTGTGAAACACAACCAAACATTTGCTAAGAGCCGTTTTCCATGTTGGGGGCTGCTGGTGGCTGTGAAACTGGCTGGCTTTAGGAATATCCTACACTTTTATTTCCAATGTTCTAGCAGACTCTCCGCTTCTTGTTGCAATTAGCGTGGGAAAGACCATACCCACGAACTTTGGAATTTTTCAAGAGTTGTTACTCAGATAGGAGCTCGTAACTATGGTTTCTGATGTCTTCTCTCAGGGATAGAGCTTCTCACAGATCATGGGAAGTGTGGGGCTAAAGAAGCAAGGGGCTAAAGAGCTGTGGTTGCAAACACAAGCCCTAAGCTTTCAGACAGGGAACTAAAAACATGCAAGAATCTACCTACAAATAATCATGGTAGGGAAGTGTAAAGACTTGTCTGAGAAACAGGATCCCTTTGAACCCAAGCAGACAGCGCGCTCACATGTGTGGAGCCAATTGACCAAGCAAAGAGACACAATTACATTTTCTGGCGAGCCCACAAGCCAAAACACAGCTGGTCGCACTAATATTAGTCCTGTCAAGCCTGGTAGTCTTCATTTATTATGCAGCTTGCAAATAATTATACACGTAGCTAAGCTTACAGCTCAAAAGCTGCATGCAGTACTTGGCAGGCTAAATTCCTTGCTGGTGTAGAGCCTTTGACCTCAAAAAAAAAAGGAACGAATCTGTTCCTTTGTATTTTCAGAATAAATCACGGGCCTTTTTCATCTCAACATCTCCAGAATATAGGTTGCTCCTCCTCCTACTGTCATTATAATCTGACTTATGTTTCATTTCAGAATCCCGCCCGGCCTTAAAAGCTGTGTGAAGTTTTCCTGGTGGTTACAGCAACTTCCTCAAAGGGCTTAAATTAAGATTCATTTGCCAAATTTTGGAAAGCTGCTTTCCCTTTTGGGAAAATTAAAACAAGCATACTCTCGCTCTACCACTTATTATTAAAATAAGTTTAGCATGAGATATCACTGAGGGCAGAAATGAAGACCTGTATAACAAACTTTCTCTCTTTAGGGAATAGTGACATTAAGTGTCAAATTTGTAAACTCCCATCAGCACTGGCATTAACACCAGCTGAAATGCATTTGGCAGTCTGTACCCCTGAGCTACTACTTTGTAGGTTACATTTAGGTCACGTTTTCTTTGTGAACGCCAAAGCAAGAGAATTACTTTTCATCTTTCTGAAAGCAAGATTCAAGCTTAAAATATTTTACGTGCTGGTAGCGCTGCCTAGGCCTGGTTTGCTGGCAGGGCCAAGGACTAAGGGAGCGTAAGTGAAATGGGAAAAGTGTATGGGGGAAACCAGTACACCTTCATTTAAGGTTTGCCTCTGTCTGAAATGTAGGATTTTGGTTTGTGCCACTTCTTGCCTGAGTTATCCTAGTCTGCTGCAGCACTGAGGCAGTGTTCAAACGAAACTACGTAATCCCTAAGAGGTTAATTGAGCATGAACGCTCGGCGCTAATCCAAACTACAAATACTGCAGGTATTTAAAGCTGAGTGATAAACTGTTTTCTCATCCCATTAAAGAAAAAGCTTTCACAATTTTGAGAAGTGTTCGCCCAGTACGGACCAGGACACAAGACCTCTCCAGTTTGTTTGAATTTTGTCTGCAAACGTGCCGTTTCAAGCCCCGCTCAGAATAGGCCATAGGGTAGCGATTAGGCGTCTTCCCAAGAGCTACGTGCCTACGTCTGGCTTGAAGCAAGCCAACAAATATACTGGTGAATCCTATTTCCCTCAGCTTGCAAACTCCACCAGTGCGTCTCTTTGAAATTTTCACCAAGTACCCCTCCAACCTGGAGCGTCCTTCCCAAACAAGGTGTAGAAATGGTGCGCTACCACTGGTGAGACGGGCGCTTTCCAGTGGCAACGCGATGGCTGATCCTCACGATCTTCCCCAGCAGCGCAGGACGTTGTTATTGCGGCTCTGCAATACAACTTACTAATCTTTATGGTCCTGTAATCGCCATAGTTCAATAAAACCGGCCCGCCCTTCTTCCACTGTCATCTAAAATTAGGATTGCCCTATCCCCTCTGCAACCACGGTAAAACAAGATAGCACTAGAACGAGGTGGGGTGGGGAGAATCTTGTAACGAATGGGAAACGCTTCAAGCAGACATGACAAACCATTCAGTCCACTGGATTATGGAAAAGTATGGCATTTGCTGTTTGCGAGTTGCTGATCATTGACTTTATTATTCTAGAGAGAAATGGGGGTAACCAAGGACCACGTGGCAGAGACCTCCGGCTCCCTTCTTGCAGCTGGAGAACACGAGGCTGAATCTCAAAGGTACGCAGTAAACTAATTTCAGCTTATGCATTC